TGATCCCGAGCCTGAAATACCTCTGTACACTAGTGTGCTATGGACTTTTCTCATTCCTGACTCTGGGATGTCTGACTCTGAGTTAGTAAGGATTCAGTATGCTTTCAGGGCTGGATTTCCCATCTTGTTCTCTTAACCTCCACCAGTCCACCAGTGCTTGCAGACAGTCTGCCTTTTTTAAGTAATAACGGATCATCCTGCCATGCAATCGCAAAAAACAGCCCCTGCCTGGTGAAGCATAATATACTATAAAAAACTATTGTTTTAGCAGGCCTTGTACTGCAACAGCGCCCTGCAGAGCACGGCAGATAAGTCCACATCAATATCTTCAAGGGAAGGTAATGGAAGGTATTACAATTACTGAAAATAACAGATTTACTTGTGCAAGGATCACATCAGAACCTCCATCCCATTTTCCAGCTGCATATTAAAAGCTCAGCACTGGATGGCACATTTTTGCTTGCCTAATGGCGTCTTACTCCTACCACACATCGAACATCGAACACCAGGTTTATAATTTGCATTTTATGGACAAGTCCTTGCATTTTGATTGAATCCAGGCCTAGGCTGGGATTCACACCAAGACACAAACTGAATGTTGCGAGAAATCTAAATTACCAGAAAACGTCCCTGTGTGTGAGCTCTCTTCCAAAATGTGGCAGCCCGTGATTATGCTAGGAAATCTCCTTTCATTTCCATTTTCATTTCCTGTTTAATTACTTACTGCTGTTCATAGCTTTTGGGGGCAACCTCTATATTCTGTCTTTTAATTACGGATTTAATGCATCTTCATTTAACCCAGAAACTGGCAAATTACACCACACATCTAAAGGCTGTGTAGTGTAGATTGAGGTGTTTCATTTTTCCCCATCAAAGTGTAAACAACAAAAGAAAGAGAGCATGAGGTGCGTTCAACCTTCCATCACAGTGTTCAGATATCACTTACATTGCATAGCCACTGGCCTTTGATCTACATTCAGTAGTACTTCGGTTTACGGGTTAACTGAATATTAAAGCTTGATTTAACAATAAGTGTAACAGCATAATACCACCAAATGCTTTGACCTAACAAAAGTGGAACCTTTAACGATTAAATGCTTGATCATTACTACGTCAATCAGACAAGTCTTACGTGCTTCAGAGTTCAATCTATTTAAAACTAACAGTGATCTATGCAGAGTGCCACTTCATTTAATCGAGGGGAGCTGGTTTGAAAAGATGCTCTCTGATCACCATCCTGCTGGACTACTTCAGAGTTAAGAGTCGCCTCTCCAGGTCCTCTTAGGTGCTGCCTCACCTCTGGGCTCCAGAGCTGCATGGCTGTTTGGGTCCGAGGCACTGCAGATGAGAACTCTCCCACTCCAGAAGCCTGGCCACGTTCAGGCACACCAGATGGACCTTTGCTATTATTCCAGCTCTGGAACTTTACTGCCCTACCGCCTCCCTCACAGTAATACAGCAGATGACAGAATAGCACAATCATGGAGCACACACAGAGAAAAAAAAATGATCGTAAATGTGCTGGAGGAAAAGATGTTTGACAGTTTCGGCACAGAGTAATATAATGTCCAATGGCCCTAGTGCCCTGGCTTTCTCCCAAGACTGCGAGATGTTACCACTCAAATGTAGCTGTAAAATAAATTGCAAGTGGGAGAAAGCTTATACAACCATCTTTCACATGTATAATTTGCAGCTTATATCAGTCAGAGAATTCCACCCTGCCCAATGGCCAGACAGAAAGCAGAAGCCTCAGGGCTTTCCACAGGGAAGCAGGTGTGCTCATCAGCCCACTGCAGCCACAACGGTCTCTTCAGGACCCAAACAGCTGGAACACAGTCGAGCCAAACTGTTAGGCACAGCAGATATTCATGGACACAAACAACGTTCCCGCTGATGTGCTCAGCAGATGCTCTTCACTCTTCACTGTTTTATTCCGTAATGATTTGCAATATAAACATTTCCCCCTATTTTATTTCAGCTTCTTACATTTTAAACCTCCCAGGATGCACAGTTCCATGACTTTTATATCGGCGCTCTGGTCCAGCACTCCCTGCCTGACTCAGGCCTCCACCTGCACCACAGCAAAGAGCTGCAGGAACACTAGACTTCACTTTTTCACAATCTAGAGGCTCGCTCAGCTTTGTTTTCTTTCACTTCTGAGTGGGGAACCTTTTATATACTCGAATGAAAAATGAAATGTTTTCTCACTTTTAAGTCTTTTGCTAAAAGCTGTCTTTGTCTCCGACAGTGATGATTCAGTCTTCAACATCTCATTACACCCGAGACCTTATTTAAAAAGGAGTATCTTCACCATTGTGCTGGACTGTGGGATCTGAGACCCACATGTCTGCCACGTGGTTTCATTTTTTAAAAACAGTTATAGCCTTGTCACCGCAGAAGCTGTGTGATTTCAGAACAAACAGTATAGGGTAACCTTTCATTTTTCAATTACGCAGCCCCAACCCTTCCCTGCTTTGCTCTGTACTGAACACAGCAGATCACATCATTACTGGCGTTGGATAGCGAAGAGGGTGATTGAAATGTACTTGCCCTATATGACAGTTTACACAAGTTAAATGGTTTGTACAAAGCGTGCAGGAAGAGGAGGCTTTCTGTCTTCTCACCTGGCCTTTCATCACTCATCCAAACTCCCATACAGAGGGGGGAGAGACCTTGGCCCTGGCATTTTTTGCTGTTTCCCCATAAATCAGCAGTGATCCTTGTGCTGTAATCCCCAGCTGGGACAGACAGCCCCAGCTCCTGGACGGCATCCAGGATATGCAAACCAAGCGATTGTCACCTCAACCGTCACAACAGCTGAGCCCCTGTGATTACCACGGTAAAGAATTTGTGCTGGCATGGTGCACTGACGGCTTTGCACAGCACAGTAAACAAAGGAATTCTTATACGGTTAGGTATAGTCAGGATGAAACTAGGTCTTAGGTGCATAGGAAAACGTTTCCTGGCAAGATACCACAAAAGTTTAGAATATACTTGTAAATCCCATAGTCCACTTGTCTGCTTTGTTCCTACTGACTATTGTGTTGATCTGCACATACTTTTGTCCTATTTTACTCTACTCGCATACGAGATATTTTTTGCCTTTTTTTTGTGTATATTACCTCTTCTACACTGCATCTTGCGCGACATAACCTCTTGCATTTTGTAATCTCTTGCATTTTACAAGCACGTTACATTTCTGTGACTTTGCACAGTTCTCGTTTAAAGAGCTGATTCTGTGTTTTAGGATGGTAGCATAAAATGTTTTAGGGGAAAGCATCTGTAAATAATAACCCTTACCAAACTGAATAGATAATACAAAAAAAAAAAGGACATCCCAAGGAAAAAGGGTCTTCCTCCACATTTCCTGTCCTAACAGGACAGACTGACGGCCCATTTCCTGTTCTAAAAAGGTGGGGGACAGCCCAGTCAAGCACTTTTGTCACTATAGTGTCGTCTCAGATACTCCACGGCCAGCTCTCCAGCTGCACGTATAAGACACACTCTGCTCAAGGTCAAGAGGTGTCAGAGGGGAGATGAGGTACAAAACATCACACGGATAAGAAATGTGTGCCAAGTCTTTATCTTGTTAGCTGGGAAGTCTCATAGTAAGCACTGCTAATTAACATACAGCCAGTAAGGCCAGCACAATTCCTCCATTCCTCACACTGTGGGTGCTTGCTGCCTGTGTGGTACAGGTCGTGCAGTCTACCTGCAGCACATACAGCGCAGGTGTAGTGTGAGCACACTAGAGGATAATGTAACAAGAGGAAGGAAAGAAATCTTGATTCATCTTGAATATCATACAGCCATAGAGGCATTGAGTAGCCTTTTGTTTTTGTATGCTCTTGAAGTGGCTTTACAAACATCCATTAACCCACAACAAAAGCTTCATTTTGGTGCAAAGACCGTATTAAGAGGTCATGCACTGCACGATGAAGTCTAAAAGTACAGATACAAAGTATTAAACTACAAACGTAAGCTCTTAAATAATAAAAAAAATGAGTTAAATAGTTATTGGAAGCACTCTAAATATGTGGAGCAATCTGATTCATCATGCTGTTTTTAGAATAAACACATGGTGAGGAGAGGTCATCCTGTGGCTATTTCTGGGCCTCTGATACCAAGATAAAATCAGAGTTATTTCGGGTGAGTTCTGCAATACTTGTGCCGTCTTCATCCGTGTTTTGAAAACACATCTTCCGAATTCTGGAAAACGGAGCCTGCCGAGGAGCCGTGCCCAGTTCTCCCCACTGCCCCCTCCCTGTCTGAACACGAGCTCGGGATACTATAATTAGCCTTGACTCCTCCAGCTCTCACCTCCCCTGAGCTCTGACCTTCTGCAAATGTTAAATGGCTGCTGAGCTTCAGCACAGCCGCCCTTAGCCGTCGAATGACCTCAGCGTCTTGCATACAACCAAACGCAGAGACGAGCGGCCACACACAGGCGCCCATCGCCGGCGCTCCGCACACCTCAGACTGAGGCAGTGCCCCCAGAGCCCCGGGTCAGAGGCTCTGGAGAGGGGAGACACGATGGCCTCTACCCATAGAGAGGAGGAGGGCAGCAGCTCTGCCAGTCAGAGCCGAGGCAGCAACAGCGGACGAGAGGAAACATTTAAACCATTTCTGAGCCCACGGATAAAACAGTGTGCCTGCATTTATTCTGAGCGGCTGTGTGGGAGGAACTGTGCGCTTGGTGATCCTGGGGGAAGCACAGCAGAGACTTGAGGAGTTAATATACGATTTAGAGAGCCGTTTCAACCAGCCGGGCTGAGAGGCTGGGAGGCTGCTCCAGTGGCCAGAAATGAACGACTCAAAAGCAGGAGGAGAAGGAGAAGAGTGACTGAAGACAGCGGACAGTTCAGCACTGTGAACCTTTCATGTTCCTCTCAGAGACAAAACAAGAGAAAAGTGGCCGAGGGAACATGGTGACCTGTGGTGTTTAGCGAGGTATCTACCACCATTACCCCCCGAGCCAACAAAACAGGTCCTGTACTCACCCGTACACTGTGCGGCCTGGCCTCTTCGGCCCCGCCCTGGAACGGCTAGACTTCAGCTCCCCGGCCATGCTTATATCTGGAAAAGAAAGAAGTCAGTGCAGCACTGGGAAGGCCGGTCTCTTCTCTGTAGTGAACAGTAGCTACAGTACTAAATACAAGCCAACACGAATTTGGGTCCCCAGTTTAAAATAATAAATTCACAATCCCCCCAGAATGAAACTTTTTGTCTCATCTTACCTTTGGTAACCTGATGGGTAAGTACACTTTCTAAAATGATTAAGAAATATAGTGAAATTGTTCACTTTAAAGTTATATAGTTAATATGTCCCCATTTTCAGAAATGAACAAATTACTCCAAACAGCTGCCAATACCTCGGATACAGTGTCTTTCAAAAGAACGGACATTCTGGTGTGCAAAGTCGGTAGAAACGTCTGGAAAAAGACTCAGATTAATTACTGCCAGAAGTGCTCAGGAGGAGGAATGCCTTTGCCATCAATATATTTTCGCCTTTGGGTTTTCATTGCAGTTCTTGCTGACGTAACTCCTTTCAACCATAAAGATGTCCGGTTGGAGATCAATCAAGCAACACTTTAAAAATGCGTAGACACCTGTACCTCAGCAAGGTGGACAAAGTGTTTAAAAGGGGGAGAATACATCTGCCAACTCCATCACAACAGAGACAGAAACTAAAGCGCATCACCAATAGGCTCAGGAGGCCATTAATCAAGCTCACAGCTACGTCAGTTTGAGGTGGCCAAAAACATTTTGATCCCCTTTGGGGCCGGACTGCACGAAGCTGTGCTCTCTGTCGGAGACAGAGACTCGTGCAAGACTCGTGCCACACAGCCTGCCAGGCCGCGGTCTCCTTCACGTCACCTGAGGGCCAGGCAGCCCCCCAGCCTGGAGAGAGGAGACAGACAGGGGCCCCGACTGCCAGAGACAGCTTGACCCTTCTCTGAGCCACTGAGATGCTGAGGGACAAAAGGGACAGATAAACGAAGTGCTTTCCTATCTAATTGCCCTCCATCTGCCAGCAGGAAATTAATTGCTTTCCACTCCCATTTATCAGTTCTGCACAACCCTTGAAAAGCCCAACATTTCCTGCTCCCTCCCCCTCCTCTTCACCCCCACACCGTTCTGCTTCTCCGTTCCCTAACGAGCCTCCTCACGCACACACCTGCTGTCCGCGCCGGCCTGACCCTCGCCCATCCCTCTGGAGCACCAGCTGGGGCTGGGCTTCCATATCAAATCCTGCCTCTCACTCGCAGTCTTGGCCCAAGTTTCTCTCCTTCTCACATTTGTGGATTTTCATTAACCGCGGCATCTGCCCGACAACTGCTCTGCGCCTTGGAAATTCATTATGATGCTGGAGCACCACTGCGCCGCACAGTCAAAGAAGAGATGAGGTCAACAGGGGGGCTTTGTCTAACTACAGAACAGCAGAAATACAGATCGGCTGGAGACAGAAATAGACTTTTTTCACCCCTGCTAGTTCACTTCTGACCAATAGACCACAGGCCCTCACTGCCCGTCTCCAGGGGTCTCGGCTCTGACCACAGGCCCTCACTGCGCGTCTCCAGGGGTCTCGGCTCTGACCACAGGCCCTCACTGCCCGTCTCCGGGGGTCTCGGCTCTGACCACAGGCCCTCACTGC